TGGAGAAAGCATTTGATATTTTCAAAGGATCTAAAAGTTCACGTGAGCTAAAAAGGATCGAAATCTCGTTTTAAGTTCCTAAAGCAATAACAGAAAACTTTATTCCCCTTTTGAACTTGTAAAAGAAATCACATTTTTACCAGATTAAGAGAATAAGCTAAGTTAAGCTTTCAAAGGACATTACTCTTAAGGAGCTTACTGATTTTGAGAGATTAACTATTGTCATCTATAAATTAAGCAATTTAGTCTGACCTCCTAACTAGATAAAATAATCTAGATCTCATAGCTATATTAACTGTATATATATCTCTCTGGATATGTAAATCAAATAACAAAGAATTCAAGTTCAAATGTCACATAAGAAAAGCATAATATAGTAAACACTAAAGGAGTATTCGTCATTTCTCCTCGCTGTGCTTTGAGGGAGCGGAAGAAACGAATGACGAATGTAGATGCAGGTTCCTTCGAGATAGCGTCGAGTTTCATATTGAGACTCAAGAAGTGCTCCGGTGTTTGTTTATGCAACACAAAAAAAAGAAAATGAAGGAGAATTAGAGCAGGAATCTGATTCTTTGGTAGTGCATAAAACAACCGGAATGAAAGAAAATGACGTTGTTACTTAGTATAAAATGTTCCATAAAAAATTTAAAAAAAAAACACATTATAATACCAATCAGATAGGGAGAACCAAAGATGTTAACATCGTTGTACATCCAAAGATAGATAGTAATATACTACTTTAAGACATGTTCATTTTTAACTTAAAAAATTATAACTAGATGAAAAAGGTTGGCAAGAATATCCTATCAACATGCTTTCCACAACAGCGCGACATATGTCTCAAATCATACCTCAGTTTTCAAATGACCACACGTTAACAAAAACTAAAAGGGACCATATACTTTATGATGCAAAGGAAATGAAGCCACTGAAGCAAAGTTTCAAATATGACAGGGGAAGATATAGTCATGTTCATATAACTACACTATCTTGAAACTAAGACATAGCATTTAACATGTTTCTAACTCAACACTGAGGGAAAGGAAATGGCATAAGCTAACAGCTCTACAACAAACCTATACCAGTAGTCATTTCTCGGCTAGATCTAAGCACAAAAGTTTATTAAAATAACTTCAAACATGATATCTTTACAAATAAATCTGAGGATACCCATATAAATCTTACAAAATATTCTCTGATTATACTCAAAGAGAAAGAGTAGGAAATGAAAATCTACTACTAATAGATCCAAATACGTCTATGAGGAGAAATTAGATTATGGCTTCTGTCTATATTTCACTGGGGCATGCTAACTTTTTCCTTAAAAGAAATTCCTAAAAGATATCATTCTTAAAAGTCGATTCAACAGTCATACTTCAACGCATCAGAGAGACTAAACCAGACTTTTAGATGGTAAGCTATTCATAGTATAAACAAAGCAACAAGTATAAACCACATTCTATAATAAAAGATCCTAAAACATGATTTCTAAAGCACATGAATTAATAAAGAGGGTGGAGTTAGATTTACCTTTTGTGGGGCAGTGAACTGTAGGCTTTGATGTCTCAGATCCACTACTCTTCCGCTACTAAATTGAGATTTAGAACGTGAATGTAAACTGAAGCAAGAGAGATTCTCTTTTTTTGGTGATTCAAGCTTGGTTTCGGCTGAAGATTTTGAGAGGTATTTATAGGTGAAAAACAACAAGGGTTTTCTCTTGAGCGAGAATTCTTGATTTTGATTTTGAATTTGTTGTCAAAGAGTTGTTCGAATCCGAACGTTTGAGGCCTTCATGTGATTTGCCTCAGAAAGCACCCGAAATGGAGAGATTCACCTTAGCTTAAAAGGGTTAAAGTTTACCAGATTATCATTTCGGGGAAGAAGACAAGACTTGCTTCGAGAAGAAATATAGTAAGGATCCTTTGTACGAAAATAGAGTGGACAATTCTCTGCCATGGCTGAAGAAGAGCTGAAATCGACCAAAAAATGGAATGAGAGAGAAAGAAGAGAGGCGTAGGGTTTAGAGTTGGTTGGGCTCATTATTTGGGTTGATTCAAAGGAAAGCTGATGGGTTTGTGTTGGTCAGGTGGATTTTGGCACGATATGGGCTATGGAAATGGGTTGTTATTATTGATTTGGGCCATTTCTTGTTGGCGGAATGGATCACGTAAATGAGCCAATTTTGAGCAAATTTTGGACTTTGATTTTGAAATTCAAATCCTTTCTTCTTTTTATTTCCTTGGCTTCCTCGTCTAAATATTTTGAACATAATAATCTAATAGACGTATAGATCAATTTAAATCAGTAGTTAATTTATAAAAATATAATAATAATAATAATAATAATAGTAATATTAATGGTATTAATGGTAAATATACTATTAATGACAATTAGTAATGATAATCCTAATAATCCTAATAATAATAATAATAATAATAATAATAATAATAATAATAATAATGTTAATACCGGTACTACTACTAATTACAAAATTAATGATAATAAATAATCATAAGATAGCTAATAATACTATTAGAGTATTAATGACTAGGAAGCACAATGAAATTAATTAGAAGAAAAGTAGGACAAAACTAGGTATCAACAGCTGCCCCTCTTTGACCGGAAATGATGAAAGAGTTTTCGGGCAAAGAAATTGATGTATTAGCCAATTTTGTCCCTGCCAACTTTTACGCCATTGAAACGATAAGGACGATATGGATGCTAGAAAAATTATGGAATGTAGTCATTTCGATTGAATATCCTATTTTAAGGTGGACTTTTCTATTGTCCTATCAAAGGTGGACAAGCCTAAATGTCCTATAAAAGGCAGACGAGCCTAAATGTCCTATTAAAGGCGGACGAGCCTAAAGAAGGATCGAAATGATTTCCGAAATGGAAGGTATTTTGAAAGGTTGAGGCCGAACTCCTGTATTTGAGTCGCCTACATATCTCGGGCTTTACGAGAATCAGGACATATGTAGTTCGAACGAATAAGATTTATGGTGAGACTGGATTGAAACGATTTGCTACTCAAAGATGAACACGGTAAAATTTGCGTGAATTTTGAATTACCTACATAACCACGAGAATGCGGGAATGTAGTTGGGAGTAGATCTTTGACCTCTTGCTGACGAGTTTAACTCCACCTTCAGCAATTGCCCCAGCTCATTGCTTAGATTATGATCCACGATTTGATTGAGCTTTAATTTTGTCTCCATATGAAATGCCACAAGCTAAAGATAAATATTAGCGATAAAGAGATATATGTAAATATATCGGGTTGAAAGAATTTACTCTCGTAACCTATGCTTGAAAAGATAAATCCACATCCACGTCCACATTTAGTATTTAATGAAGAATTGAATAACGTCCACATCGAATGAATTTGAAAGCAAGATAAATCCACGATCATGTCCACGTCTACATCCACATTGAAAGAAGTGAAATGCTTAAAATCGTTGGTTGAGAAGATAAATCCACATCCGCGTCCACGACTAGAATTTCAAAAAGTGTTGAATAATGTCCATATTGAAAGGAGTTTAATCCACGATCCACGTCCATGTCCATTTTCATGTCCACAAAATGCCACAAGATAGAAAAATATTAGCAATAAACTATATAAATAATTTGGATTTAGGAGATTTACGCTCGTAACCCTTGGTTGGGAAGAAAAATCCACGTCCAAATCCACAATTAGAATTTGAGAAAAAGTTGAATAGCATCTATGTTAAAGAGTTTAAAGCAACAAAATTCACGATCCACGTCTACGTTCATATCCATATCAATATTCACGTCCACAATCACGTTCGACATCTAGATTTATGTTCACGAAGAGGAGTTGAGTTTGAGTTGAATCTGCATCTTTGTGCAAATCAATATTGAACCTTTCCATCAAAGAAAAATTGTGAGTTTAAAGAAAATCGGTTGACTTGTGCTCATTTGGGGAACTTAATCCTTAAGCGGGTTCTTGTCTTGATCACATCCACATGCTTCGACACTTCCACCATACATGTACGCTTTACCAAGGAGTTTCAATAGTAAGTGACAAAATTTTCTTTTGAATCGCAGAGCAGCACAATTTAGATGACTTAGATGAAAAGGCTCTACTTAACGGCTCTAATGATATAAAGAATTGTGACAAGCTAAGTTTAAACTTATCAAACTCTTAGATAGACTTGACATGTACATATGAGACACTACTTGAAATCTCAAAATCTTTAAGGCCAACTATGTGATAATTCTAAAGCATTACCCCAATTTCCATTCTAAAGACATTAAGTTTTGGTATAGAAAAATAATGAAAACTTTGAAGGCTATATAAAGAAATATTAAGGAAAATATTTATAAAAATAAAATAAAATAAATCTGCCCCAGTTTCTAGTCCCAAGGCACTTGATTTTAAATGGAACATGTATAGATTTTGGAAAATTGAGAAAATAGTTCTGGATTGGTTTAAAACAAAATCTGCCCCAGATTTGGTGCTAGAAAACTTGTTTTTGAACGAAAAATATTATGAAATTTGGAAAATTGAGAAGTATTTTTGGATAGGTTACCAAAGAAACTGCCCAAGTTCCTGGTACTAGGACACCTGTACTTGAATAATGAAAAGGTCGAACATTTGCATAGAGCTTCCTCGTATTTAGTCAGGACGAGGACCAAGTCAAAATGCAGTTCGACAAACTAAGGGCATAAGAAGTTTTAAATCAAAAGGGGCCGAACCCATCTCGGGCTGCCTACGTATTCTTGTCAAGAGGTGTCGAGACAGAAATCAGGCCAAACGTAGTTCAAACGAAATAGGGGCTTTAAAATTTTTTTATAATAAAGGGGCCGAACCCATATTAGGCTGCCTACGTATCCAATAGGAATCAGGCCAAACGTAGTTCATTACAAGAAAATGGAATCCTAACTTAGATGGCTGTAACAAAACATAGAGGCGACATGACAAAAATAGGTTCTAACTTATGCCTCCGGCCAATTACAAAAGAAATTCATGACATAAACTACTGAAACTCCCGACGAACCGGGGCTGAGATGCAAGTCCAATTCTTCAAAACAGATCCCGGTTCGACAACACGTACAATCAGTGTTTCAGCAATGTCTGCAAATACCATATCATGATCATCTTCATCTCCCACGAACAAGTTCTTGACACCCTCTATGATGTCATCACATGAAACCTCAACAGGTACATCCGGAGTCTGGACAATAGTAGGCTTTAGGAAAGTTTGGTCAATGGTTGGGATTGGTTTTGGTAGGTGGATCTCTTTTCCTTTCTTCTGTCGTGCTTCCTTCAGTTCCTCTTGAGTAGGTTCGTATCCTAAACCAAAAGTAAACTGTTGTCCGGGCAGGACTATAGGCTCAACTCGTCCATTCAATGTTTTTCCTAACCCCAATCCTGGTTGATACCCATTCTTTAGCATCTCCTTTGCCACCATGATCGCAGCGCAAGACATCTTTGGCTCCTCGGTTCGCCTCTCTTCAGCTACATAGGTAGGATCCACAATTTCCCATGCATGGTATGTAGCTCCACCCAGCTCTCCTGTTACATCAATGAATGAGATAGATTGCTCCCGATAGATAGACGTATCACCTTCTCCATGTATGACTATTTGTTGTTGATCCCACTTAAACTTGACGGTTTGATGCAAAGTCGATGGCACAACCCAGCCAGATGAATCCATGGTCTTCCTAATAACAGGTTGTATGTTGTGGAAATATCAAGTACTTGAAACCCCATAATGAACTCGACTGGCCCAATCAGCACGTTCAGTTCTACCTCTCCAATTGAACTTCTCGCGGCCCCGTCAAATGCTCGAACCCTCATATCACTTGGCTTGAGTTTACTGAAATCATACCCTATCTTCTTTAGAGCAGTGAGC